ATCTTTTTTGCCCTTTTTTGGGATAGCGAGCTGACCACCCTCCCATTCATCCATCGATCGTTCTGGTTCGTGAAATAATGATGCGCATTAACATTTTTTTTGTCTCTTTATGGACCAATAATTGAAAGAGGTCGGCTGTATAGCGCCCTGTGGTCATGATGCACTTTTTGATTACATGCTCCTACTTTTGAGAACGGGTTACATGGATGCAAGATGCTGTTATGATTGTGATGCTCTTATTGCAGCTGTGACAGTCTTCTGCCTTTGGAAGGTGTATGTTACATGCGGCTCCAAGGAGTCGTCATCGAGAGATTCGGTGTGAGGAGGTAGCCTCGGTGCAGCCACAAGCCGCACCCGGAAGCGGGTGAAGTCACCGTTCTAACAGTAATCCGGGCCCGCAGCTTCCCGCACTCGCCGAAGTCGCCGAACCCTCTGCGCTGGCAAAGTACACGTTGCACCCGCTGTCTCGTCTCACTATCACCTTAACGCTTTCGGCTTCTCAAAGGACATTTCAATCAACCCTCACTGACACCTTCCATCCACTATCCCATATTCTCTTACTAACACGCTCACAACGACACCATTAACGATGGCTAAAAACGAAGTCTTTCAGTATTCCCTCGTCTCCGCCCTGATGGACGGCGTCGCCACGCACGGGACCCCCATCTCGCGCGTCCTGGATCACGGCGACCACGGCCTGGGTACCTTCAAGTCCATGAACGGCGAAATGATTGTCCTCGACGGCGTCTGCTACCAGATGAAGTCCGATGGCACCATCGAGCATATCCACACTCCCTCAGAGGTGATCACACCGTTTGCGACCGTGACCCGTTTCAACCCGAACGTATCAACACGGGCCACCATCTCGAACAAGAAGGACCTGCCAGCCCTGCTGTTGAAGCTATTTCCCCAGAGCAAGAACCACTTCTTGGCCATCCGCATGGATGGGACGTTCAAGAGGATCAAGGTGCGCACGGCAGGCGGTCAATGCTTTCCTAGGGAAGGCATGCTGGCGGTTGCGGGAAGGCAGACAACGAACACGTTTGAAGCAGTTAAGGGCACGATCATCGGGTTTAGGTGTCCGGCGTACGTGATGGGGCTCAATGTGGCGGGTGATCATTTGCACTTTATCGATGAGGAGAGGCAGAAGGGCGGACACATTTTGGAGTTTGAGACCGAGGGCGATGTGGAAGTTGGAGTTTCGTTGATGTCCAAGTTTCACTTGGAGGTGCCGACGGAGGATGAGGAGTTCAATGAGGCGTCACTGGCCCATGACAAAGATGGTATTGAGAAGGTGGAGGGTTAGAGAGGCTGTAACTAACAGGGACGGTGAGGAGGAATGGATGCATGTCACGAAAGAATATGATGATGATACAAATCAGTGCCGGTGCGTTATCAGCGCGGTTCTTGTAATAGAGGTCTTTAAAAAAACATAGAAGAATAACGAAACAAACACGTTCAATTCTTTTCTTGAATATCGGTATAGTTAGTGGTTGGTGGTTTAATGACTTTGGACAGTTGGCACGAGTCAAAATAAAGGAAAGAAAAATGAAACATGGTAACTCCCTCGGTAAGGATCGAACTTACAGCCTCCAGATTAACAGTCTGACGCGCTAGCCAATTGCGCCACGAGGGAGAACAGATGATTGGTTGTTGAAAAGAAGGCTTGAAAATAAGTTTTATGTAGTCCAAATTCATAAATCCTGCAAAATAAGTCGGAGGAAGTCATGGCCTTCAAAGATGTGCCGAAGTAGCTACAACAATTGTTGTACGTAGCAGCTCAATACTTACGACACAGTCACTTGAGGAAACATATGGCACATGTCCGGGTTGTGAAGACTCATTCGCTAGGTAGAGAAAAAGCCATTGTTAGAGTGGTCTTACGGAAGTGAACCAAGAATGTTTCTGCCATTCGAAGGGGTAACAAACACCTAAATCTTGGTCCGTCTTTCCTTGAATCTCAGTCCGAAGCGGAACGGCAAAGGATGACTCGTACCATGGATCAAATGGATGTCTCTGGGCAATTCTCAAGCAACTCTTTGTGAGACCATGCGAAGGGTTAGAACTCACAAAGGCCTGGCTCCGAGATCTCCGCAACTCCAAGATCACAAGCACTCTGACTTCACTTCTCAGCCCGCGTACCGAGCAATGCCATCATTAGGCCTCCCGAACTAAAGCCAGCCATCGGAGCTTCACGTTCATGCATTAGCACGAAAAATTACGCCGTCGGGGCATCAACATCACTCTGCACCGCGGGGATGGCCTTGCGATGTAACCTGCACCCTAGAATATCGGTTACTCGAACATGGGTGCAGCCATAGCATTAAGCCGTCGGTTAAGCACACGATACTACTGTAGAACAAGATACCTACCTCACCCATGCGGCGCTGATTTGCAAGATAAAAAGCTGAATCGCACCATAGCTCTGACTCTTGCACCTACGAGGCGAACTCCCTCAAGATCAATTGGAAGTAAAGGCGCGCCAAAATGGTGCCCTCTCTGTACGCAGTCGGCCGTATCTTGGTGACAGCTCTAGCCATCATCCCATTCGCCTTCGCAGACCTTACTACCACTATCGACCCATCCTCCAACTGGGGAACCTGGGAAGGATGGGGTACATCCCTCGCCTGGTGGGCAGCAGCCTTTGGAACCCGTGACGACCTCGCCGACATCTTCTTCACGACCCAAACCACGAACCTCGACGGCGTCTCCCTACCCGGGCTCGGCTTCAACATCGCACGTTACAACGCCGGCGCGAGCAGCTGGAACAGCATCAACGGCACCAGCATGGTGGTCTCGCCCAAGATGATTCCCTCTCGCCAGATTGAAGGTTTCTGGGTCGACTGGGCCTCCACTAGCCCCTCTTCAGCCAGCTGGAACTGGTCCGCCGATTCTGCCCAGCGCGCCATGCTCTCCAAAGCGCGCTCGCGCGGTACCAACATCCTCGAGCTCTTCTCCAACTCGCCCATGTGGTGGATGTGCAACAACCACAACCCGTCCGGCTCCGACGACGGCAGCTCCGACAACCTACAATCGTGGAACTACCAAAGCCACGCTGTCTACATGGCCACCGTGGCCAAATACTTCGCCGACCACTGGTCCACCACGTTCACGTCCGTCGACCCCTTCAACGAGCCCAGCGCGAACTGGTGGAATGGAAAAACTGGCACGCAGGAAGGCTGCCACTTTGACGTGTCCACCCAGGCCACCGTCCTCAACTACCTGCGCATCGAGCTCGACTCGCGTGGCTTGTCATCGACCGTGATCTCCGCGTCGGACGAAAGCTACTACGACCAGGCAGCCAAGACCCTCCAAAACCTCAGTGCGACCGCGCTCGGGAAAATCGCCCGCGTCAACGTCCACGGCTACCAGTACGGCTCTGGGCGGCGCGACTCGGTGCGTAGCCTGGCGACGCAGTACAGCAAGAAGCTTTGGCAGAGCGAGTACGGCGAAGGCGACGCGACCGGCCGCGACCTAGCCAGCAACCTGCTCCTGGACCTGCGCTGGCTATGGCCGACGGCGTGGGTGTACTGGCAGGCGCTTGACGGAGGCGGTTGGGGTTTGGTCGACGCCGACAACGACAAGAAGACGATCGGCCAGCCGACGCAGAAGTACTTTGTGCTGGCGCAGTTTGCTAGGCATGTGAAGCCGGGGATGCGCATCCTGGATGGCGGCAGCGATTACGCGACGGCGGCGTATGATGCGGCGACCAAGAAGCTGGTCATTGTCGCGGTCAATTGGGGCAGTGCGCAGTATCTCAACTTTGATCTGTCCAAGTTCAAGACGGCGGGAGTAGATGGGGCGGTGGTGAAGAGGTGGGCGACGCAGATTGGCGCGTCGACGGGGAAGAGGTATGTCGCTGCTAGCGACACTTTCATGCGCGGTACAAAGTTCTGGTCGTACTTTGAGAAGGAGATGGTGCAGACTTTTGAGGTTGAAGATGTTGTTTTGTGAAATGATAGATTCTTGAAGTCGGCTTGTGGCAGAAGTGTCCCAGACGCACAGACTATGAACAAGGTCAGAACACTAAACGGCAGAACGCAACATTACCAAAATTCTTAGGAAAAAAAAAAAAGGAGGAACAAAATTGGTTAATTGTAACAAAAATACAAGTACGAAGTGTAAAATAAATAAGTGAGATAACGAGCAGAATCAAGCAAGGTCATGTATCCGGGAGAAAGGGCAAAAAGATACAAAAAGAAATCTTTTGACAAGAGTGGGATTCGAACCCACGCCCTTTCGGACCACGGAACTCGTAGAGGAGATTAAGGGTTAACCTTAACGTGGCGCCTTAGACCGCTCGGCCATCTTGCCTTGATGTTCTTGATGGTTAAATTCCAAATACTCTATAGTCAATGACGCAAAATGTTTCATAACTTGAAAACATCACGCGAGCTTTGCGGACGACCACTTAAAGGTTTCTGTATTTATAGCTAAAGTTTTTATAATAGGGTAACTCTTCGTAAATCAAGAACCCAACACAGTTTCGATTGATTAATATATTTGTTTCTTACTGGTGGACATTCAGCTTCCCAACGGTAATGTCCAAGGGGTGCATGTAGGCTGGGTGGAAGTGGATTGAAAAGCACCTGTATATCATGTGGATTTGTTTAGATGCTCTTTGATCTATTAATATTACTATTCTAAGGCTCCAAGACGCTGAAAACGAACCGCTCTTCTGACTACGTCCCGGCGAACACAGCATCGGCACCGTCCCACAAGCAGGCTTACGGCAATTTGAGGGCCTCCAGTGACACTAACCGTCCAAAGCATAGCCGCTGATATCTTTCGTCTTCAAATACGCCACCGCAATCTCCCGCAACTGATGTCTCTGCATCTTTCCAGTAACAGTAATTGGCCATGTATCCAACCCTAGCTCCTTCAGCGTTATGACCTCCCCGAGCGAGAATCCTGATCCCCCGGGCATCATCTGAGAGAACATCTCGCTGACGTCTGTTGCCGTTCCGTTCTCGGGTAGGCGGTCGAGAATAACGTAGGGCATCTCGCCATGCATAGGAGACGGGATACCGATTACGCACACCTGCGAATTTCGAACGGGATTAGAAATTGTCTGCGAGTCACTCTGTCCATCGAACAATAGTGCTTGAAGCTGGAAGGGGGAGGTGAACTTACCTCAACCGACAAGTGCCTGGCCAGGAATGCCTCTATAGCCGTAGGATTGAAGAACCCGACAGAGCTCTTCACGATATCCTTCATACGGCCCACAACAAACACCATCCCGCTCTCATCAATCACCGCCAAGTCGCCTGTGCGGAACCACTTGGTGCCCTTCCTATCGCGGTAAAACATTTGCGGCGCTAATCCGTCGAGATACCCATCGACATACGCCTCATTTGAAATGTGCAGTTCGCCCTGCTTACCCCAGGGGACCACCTCCCACTCTTTCTCCTTCTCAGCGGTAGCCTGCTCATTCTGCGGTGTCCGAGTTGTGTCCGAGACCTTCTTCTCAACATCAACAACCTTGACCCTCGTCCCCGGCGTCGCCGTTCCCACAGGCATCACATCTCCCAACGGCTTCGGCATTCCCTCCTCCAGGACACTGGGAGGATATCCCAGCGCGCCCACGCCCTCCGTCATTCCAAATCCAGCTACTAATAACACGTTCTCGCCAACACCCAACATCTCCCGCACCCGTTCCAGATACCCAACCGTGATAATCTCGCCACTAACGAATATAACTCTAATCGACCGGATTTTCCGCGGAGCAAAGTCCTTGTGTTTAGCCAGCAGCACCAGCTGGCTGCGCATCAGCTCCATATTGGTCACCCCGCACCGCTCGATAGCCTCCAAGTTCGCAGACACGGAAAAGACGCGCGACGGAATGACGACCGTACCGCCGTTGTACCATTGTATTAGCGGGGAGGTCATGGACAGGGCCATCATGTTGACGGAGAAGATTAGGCCTACGGTTCCGGGCCGCGGAATCTCAGGGGAGCGGGGAGAAGAAGAGAATGCGGTGTGTGAAGCGATGGCCGCGCACACATTTCTAGTCGTTCGCGGTACGCCTTTAGGCTGTGAGGCCGAGGTGCCGCTGGTGAAGAAGATGTTGGAGATGCGATCTGGGCGATCGCGGACTTGTTGAGCTGAGACGCTGCTCTCTTCGTCGGTGAAAGGTGGCTGGGGGGAGACGATGTCCGAGGCAAATGAGATCCAGTTACTACCGGATGCGCGGCGGGCGGGGGAGAGAGGGCAGAGGGAGATACCGAGGAAGAAGCTGCTGCCAGAGTCAGACGATTGATCTCCTGCCGCTGCAGCATCCTGCCGAAGTTTGTCAACAATCGCAGCGGACTCCTCATCTTCAACAATCACCACTGCGGGTCGCAACCGACGGAAGTAGTATTCCTTGACCTGCTGGTCGTCGGGCAGGCTGGAGTGAAGTAACTGGACTGTCCGACAGACGAGGGTATGACATTTCAGTGCGGCGGCCCACATGACGAGCGACCATTCGACGCCGTGCGGAATAAAAGTGAGAATCATCGAATCGGCGGGGACGTTGTGTCTGTCGAGGATGGCTCCAAGACGAGCAGTTCCCCGCTGCATCTGATCGTACGACCAGATCAGCATCGAGTCTTGGTGCTTGGGATCGACCATGGATTTGGCAGGGCATGGTGACTTGCCCACAAGCGCTTCGAGGTGGTTGGCGGGCTGCCAGAAGGAAATGAGGGCAGCTCTCTCGGGATCAATGTCGATGCCGTGCTGGAAAATGGACCATACGGAGTCACCGCAGGGGGGCGGCGGACCACCATCGAGCTCGGAGGAGGACAGGGTCTGGGTCATTGTGGTTCTTGTTGTTGTTGTTGTTGTTGTTGTTGTTGTTGTTGTTGTTGTTGTTGTTGTTGTTGTTGTTGTTGTTGTTGTTGTTGTTGTTGTTGTTGTTGTTGTTGTTGTTGTTGTTGTTGTTGTTGTTGTTGTTGTTGTTGTTGTTGTTGTTGTTGTTGTTGTTGTTGTTGTTGTTGTTGTTGTTGTTGTTGTTGTTGTTGTTGTTGTTGTTGTTGTTGTTGTTGTTGTTGTTGTTGTGGTACGGTGGACGAGTCGAGATGCATGGGACAGAATCCGCGACTCAAAGGATGCGGAGGGGCCTGTTTAAGTAAGCCACAAGGTCAGATTGACGTCGATTGTTGATCAGACGAACAATCGCCTAGTGACCTGGCTAACAGGTTAGCGCGAGGCTAAGTTTAGGTATGCTGGCACAAGGTACTTAGTAGGGTCTGAGAAGATGTTCGATGGGCGCGGTGAGGGTGACAATCTTAATCGTGGATCAGAAATAACCGAAGATCGATCGGCGCTGGGTGTAACGCTTGCCTGGTTTGACGTATACTTTGTACACCTTTGTTGTCAGATCCGACCAAGTTATTGGTTGCAAAAGAAACACGTACGTAACGGAGCTCTGTTACGGCCGTCGAGAACTGGGATAAATGCTTTCCAAAGCTAGAAGTTGAATGACAACAAGGGCAACAGAAAAGAACTTATCTTCGAAGCCCTCAGTAACTAATAGCACATGCTCGGCATATTCATGAATCCATTCGTGGATCTTTCCTTCACTGTTACGCCGCAGCCATCGCTAGCCTCACTGCCATCATTGGCAGGTTGTCGCCATTGCCACTAATCCAATGCAAGAAGCAACCGCTCATCGTATAATTATGACTGGGACTAGGAACGTCCAGCCATGCTGCCTCTGAGATCTCTTCAGCGATATTTGCCTTTTTAAGAGCAATCATGAGAACAGCCCAGCGTCTCGGTCAATGACTCTCAATGATGTGAACAATTGAGACCTTCGCACCTAATCTGTTACAAAGCTGCACCACACAAGCACCAAACTCGTGAAACTCACAAAAACCGGTAGACGTGAGAGTACCTCACCAACCAAGATACACACTGAGGCAACAGCGGCAAGGTAGGTAAATGGAAAATGGTTTGCTGCAACTCAGCAGCCCTTTGATGATCAATTCGCTTGACTGCCTCTTATAAGAGGTACAATGGAAAGAAAACATGACTGGGTATCTCTTGCAAACGTGACGCTAGACAGCCGATAAAAAAAAAGCAAGGTAAAAACAACACTGCAACCCGCCAAACCCAAATACTCAGGTGTCTTCTGTGTCGAACAGAGCAACAGTCTGGATCGCATTGACATGCTGGTTCACAACCGCCAACTCTTTTTTAGTTGCGGCCAGTGCCACGTTGATCTCCACCAACTCGATATTTGTTGCCGCCAACTCTTGCTGGGTGGTTGCCAACTCTTGCTTGGTCGCGGCCAATTCAGCACGCACGGCCTTCAGTTGGCTGGTAAACTCGCCCATCCTCTGCAGACAAGCGAGCATGAAGTTGCCGCTGCCCTCTTGTTTGGCCTCGAGGAAATTGAGGCGGTTTCCGTGCTTTTCCACAGGGCCCACGTAACGGCCGATCTGGTCTTGGACAACATTGGCGGTTTCAACCGCGGCCCTGGGGTCCTCGGCAAATGTTTCGAGTTTTCTCTCAAAACGATGCAGGACGTTGGCTTGCTTCTTGATGATGATGGCCTGGCCGTTGAGGGTGGTAGCCTGGTTTTGCAAAGTGATTGCTTGGTCGTCGACCTTGGCGGCGAGGGCGTTGTTCTTGAGGATTGCGTTGATATCAAATTCCTGCATTGCAGGAACCAGCTGGTCCTGAAGTGCCTATAGAGGAAGAGAAAAAAAGTCCAGTCAGCATGATGGAACACAAACTGAGTAGACCCAAGAAAAAATCAGAATCTGTCTAGCTGTAATACTGCATCACCAGACCGGTCTACGAAAGGTACCCCCACCGCGAGGCAGAATCCACAAACGCGACCTACTGAGCGCCATTTCAGCCGCAAGACAAGCTCCCCAGCCCGGCAATACGCTGACCAAGCGCATGCCGCCGGCCAGCACATATGTGAGCCTGGTGATGCGCCGTAAGATAACTCTGGGTTCAGATGACAACATGAAAAGTTGTAGAGCTGGAGCCACGTGACGCTCGGACGGACGACCGTATCCGTGGAACTGCCCCATAGGACGCGGCCCCCCAGGAGAAACTCCTTTTGCATTTTGAGAACTGGCTCCCCCGCGAACTTGAACCCGGCCTAGGCGCTAAGAGTCCCAGACCGGTGGCGGGCATGTGGTCGAGTCTCGGTTTTACATTCCCACGGACGACTTGGCAGCATTACACGAGAACGATAGTATGTGACTGAACAGAGACTGGGCTGGACGAGGATGGACCTACCTCAGGAGATGAAGCGGCGGCACCGTCGCTGTCCTCGGCAGCCTCGTGCTGAACGGCTTGTAATACATACTTGTCAGTCATTGCCACAAGAAGTGATGGTGATGTGGAGAAATATGAAGGAGTGCAGACGCAGAGGACGTACGATTAGAGGACCAAGGTGAGAGTGCGAAGTGAAGATGTGATGAGGTGGAGGCGGTTGATGGTAGAAAAGCGACAACTTACCGGCTCTTCCTTTCTCGCACGCTTGTGCGCGCGTTTGTCGTTGTTGGGGCGACCGCTGACCATAATGATCACTTGAAGTGGGTGATGCGGGCGGGTGATGCGAGTTATGGGAGTCTGCTGATGCTCTTGCAGAGTAATCAAGTCCTGTCGAACAAACAAGGCGAAGACTTGAAGCTGTCAGTTCAAGACGACGGTGGAAAAGGAAGAAATAGAGGGTGGAGGGGAGATTTAAGTACTGGACGGAGAGACTGATCCGGGGACCCGCCCTGAATAACACCGGCACCTAGCGTGAATGGGAAGGAAGAATAGTTAGCAAGCCAAGAGCTATTGGAGGTTCAGGTTGCAGGAGAATCGTACGTCTCGAGATGGGACAAATATGGAAAAGTGGGTCGAAATTGTGGTGTTTGCTTGCGAGTCGAGGACAGGCGTTGGCACTTCAGTCACTGCCCGGTTGCATCGCGGGGCTCCCGCAAAAGATACATCGAGAACAGCCAGATGGAGACACGCACACTGGCTCAATCACGCCTTTGTGGTAGAGACAAACCGCACAGCCTGAGTGTCCTGTAGACATGGTACGGTTGGGAACTGACCGCAAATTGACCACTGGGCTAGAGCTAGAGAGGGGTATGGAAGTATAGCAGGCACAGTTGACGCAGGGCGGTGAGGGGGCCGGCAAAGGACGTGAGAGATGGGATGAAAACTAAGTCGAGGCACTTTGTAGAACGGTCAATGTTGACTCTGGACCTATCCAAAAGTATCACACCGGCTGCCAGGTGACGACAACCACCCCGCTTAGCCACCGGGAAAGAGAAGGAGTGAAGTCTCTGCAGGTCCAGAACAAGTCCAGGTTGCTAGAGGTAGGTAGGTATGATAAAATATGATGCTGACGTTCTCGCCAGGGAAGGCCCACCTATGAAGCTATGAAGAATTGAATAGGACCACACGAGCCGCAAGCTGTGTCTCTTGTTAGTAAGGGACTTGAGCTGATGCCTGTCCTGGAAGCCAAGCTTTCGGCTTGAGGGCATATGCGCCCGTGTTGACTTTGATGTATGCCTTCTTCTGTTCCACGTCATAATGGCAAGATAACGCATCAAGGTTCCATCTGCGGCAACCACTGGACATAGCAGCCCTTGCCGCTTTCAGGTTGTGCGAGACTCCAAGTTGATGGACCCATTGGACAAAGAGTATAATTTCCAAGAGACAGCTGGATGTGTCGGCGGCACTAGTCTTGTATCAGGGTAACCGGTCATATATCTCTTCTGCTGTCTCCCACGATCCGCTCTTGTCCTCAGAGAAAGTACAGCCATTGGGGTGTGGGAACAAACCCGTAAATCCACCACCGCCCATAATGCCACGCTATAAACAGACAGCGATCGCGTACGGCGTGGGCTCTGGCGCGACTCCGCTGGCAACCCTCACAGCGGGCCTCTTTCGAATCGGATGTAGCTCAATTCCTTGAGCACACGGACGACAGCGATGCCGAGAGCCATCTTCAACTAGAGAAGGATTTGAAGCGGGGTGTCTCTTTCGCTCCTGATACAGCAAAATCACTCGACTAAGTGGACGAGAGCGATATCGAGAGCCATCCCGAGGAGCCGAGGGATTGGGGTAGAGGAGCAAGTCGGACACTGCCACTTGTCTTTTCCATCGTCCTTTACCCATACCCTATGGTGAGCCATCCTGACCCTGGAGCTTGAGTTGACCGTATATTGGAGGTAATAACCGCATCGTTCAAGAGATGGAGGTGTTGCGGTGTTGCGGACGGCTTCTGAGCTTCGCCTGAGGCAGCACCAGGATACGCGTGACTACTGAACCGTAAAGTGATCGGCAGATAAGAGAAACAACATAGTTTTGTCAAGCAGATGAATAGTTGAGTAAACCATTAGATAGCGAAATCAAAAAGAGAAGGAAACAACATTGTGGTTGGCAAGTTGCATGATAGTAACCATCGAGTCTCGGACATGTATTGATGAAGTGACGTTGAAATGCTGTCACTTGACTCTGCACGTGATGGTGGGGTTGGTGGGGCCTACTTCCAGAGATTTGAGGAGGAGACAAGCGCAAGGTAAAATGGATGCTCATCAGTAGTGGAAGTGTGATGGGTGTGGTTAGAGGTTTTGGAGCAGGACAAACAAACTCACTGCCTGCCGTAATGAACTGATGAGAAACAGATGAGAAAGAGACATTGGAATGGAAGTGAAGGGAATGAATCTAATAGGAAGTGGAAGTGGAATTGTTTCCACCTTAAATGGGAGCTTGGACCAGCCCGGCTTGGGGGTCCATGCAGTCAACGGAGGAATCCATGGAGTTCAGCTGCCGTGTCCGCAGAATGGCTTGCTGCCCCGCCTACTGCCCGCTGCTAGGTGGGTAGGTACATACAGTAGGTAGGTATTCTAGGTGCCCCTGCCTGCTGCGTGTCACCCACTGATGGATGGAACCTCGGTGGAAGTCCCTCTGTTGGACAGCACAGCACCTCCTTACCTCACTCAGTCCCGTCGATATTTTTCTGGAGCTCAGCGCGAAAGGACCCACGCCCGACCCGATTGCATTGCACGAGCCTCACAACATCACAAATCGACCCTTTTCTCCCATCCACCCACCGCCCATCTCTCCCGCTTTGTGCCCTTGTTCCTGAAGCTCCGTCTCTGCTTGGCCGTTACTATTCCGAGCTTTAATTCCAACCCAACATGTCTTTCGGAGGCCAAACACCGACCATCATTGTCCTGAAAGAGGGTCAGTCAGCCAGCCCCTCCATGGTCCCCTCCTCGGTCCTGCCCTCTCCTTTGCCCCCTTTTTCCCCAGGTATTGATCACAAACTGACACCACGGCCTCTGCTCCCGATACAGGCACGGATACCTCGCAGGGCAAGCCCCAGATCATCTCCAACATCAACGCCTGCCTTGCCGTCCAGGCCACCATCAAGTCGACACTCGGACCCTATGGCGGTGACCTATTAATGGTGGATGCCAACGGCAAGCAGACAATCACAAACGATGGCGCCACCGTCATGAAGCTCCTCGACATTGTCCACCCTGCTGCGCGAATCCTCGTCGACATTGCCCGGTCACAAGATGCCGAAGTTGGTGACGGCACCACCTCGGTCGTCGTGCTTGCTGGCGAGATCCTCAAGGAGGTCAAGGAACATGTCGAACAGGGTGTCAGCTCACAGATCATCATCAAGGGCCTCAGGAGGGCCTCCACCATGGCCGTCAACAAGATCAAGGAGATTGCCATCAACACCACCGAGTCCAATCGCCGCGAGACCCTGAGCAAGCTGGCCGCCACCGCCATGACCAGCAAGCTCATCAAGAGAAACACCGACTTCTTCACAGAGAGTAAGCGATTCTCAATAATCCATGTGTCGCGCAAAAACGCTACTTCTAGTTTACTGACAGACCCGCCTGCGCGCAGTGGTTGTCGATGCCGTCCTCTCCCTCGACCAAGAAGACCTCAACGAAAAGTTAATAGGCATCAAGAAGATCCCCGGCGGCTCCCTGACCGACTCGCTCTTCGTCAACGGTGTCGCCTTCAAAAAGACCTTCTCGTACGCCGGTTTCGAGCAACAGCCCAAGTCGTTCAAGAATCCCAAGATCTGCTGCCTCAACGTCGAGCTTGAGCTCAAGGCCGAGAAGGACAACGCCGAGGTGCGCGTCGAGCAGGTTTCCGAGTACCAGGCCATTGTCGACGCCGAGTGGCAAATTATCTACAAGAAGCTCGAGGCCGTGTACGCGACAGGCGCCAAGGTGGTGTTGTCCAAGCTGCCCATCGGCGATTTGGCCACCCAGTACTTTGCCGACCGCGACATCTTCTGCGCCGGCCGTGTCACCTCGGAGGATATGGAGCGCGTCGTCCAGGCCACCGGCGCCACCGTCCAGAGCACCTGCTCCGACATCCTGCCCGAGCACCTGGGCACCTGCGGCACCTTTGAGGAGCGCCAGATCGGCGGCGAGCGCTTCAACTTCTTCGAGGACTGCCCGTCGGCCAAGACGTGCACGCTCGTCCTGCGCGGCGGCGCCGAGCAGTTCATCGCCGAGGTTGAGCGCTCCCTGCACGACGCCATCATGATCGTCAAGCGCGCCATTCGCAACAAGACCATTGTCGGTGGTGGCGGTGCCGTCGAGATGGAGGTTTCCGCCTACCTGCACCGCTTCGCCGATCGCGACGTTGCCCACAAGCAGCAGGCCATCATCAAGTCCTTCGCCAAGGCCCTGGAGATCATTCCCCGTCAGCTCTGCGACAACGCCGGCTTTGACGCCACCGACATTCTCAACAAGCTCCGCGTCGAGCACCGCAAGGGCAACACGTGGGCTGGTGTCGACTTTACGAACGAGGGCGTCTGCGACATGATGGAGCGTTTCGTCTGGGAGCCTGCGCTCATCAAGATCAACGCCCTCCAGGCGGCCACGGAGGCCGCTTGCCTGATTCTCGGTGTGGATGAGACTATCAGGAACGAGGAGAGCCAGGCGCCACAGGCTCCTGGCCAGAAACTGCCGCCCGGTGCGGCCCAGAGGGCTTTGCGGGGAAGAGGCCGTGGCATGCCTAGGCGGTAGATGGGGGCGGACAAAAGAGAAGTCATGTCAAGTTAAAGATGATAACAAAACGTAATTTAGATGGCATAGTGTGGGAATATACCTGTACGAAGATTCTGTCAAGCTGTTTTTGGGCATTTGTCGGCGGTTGGCTGATTCAGGTGACATGATGGGCCCGCTGCCCGGTGCTGACCATGGGCTATTCTAGTGCATTTCTCTGCCTCCGTCCCTCTTCGGTGATTCGTAAGGTTGTGATCAATGTCAAAAGTCTTGGCAAAGGTGTTTCGAAAAACAAAGCTGTTCTGTATGTAGGTACTCTACACTATTGATGCGTTTTTCGTGTATACCCCTTGAAACCCTTGGAGAATCCCGCCTCCCACATCAAAATCAACGCTGGCAGCGAGCGAGAGTCTGCGCAACGATGTTCCAAAAACATAACACAACACGACCCCCTCCCCCCTCTTCTATGTACTCTATTGACCAGTGTATTCGTGTATCTTACATGCCTCTTGCAATTCTTCCAGCCGTTCTTCTATCTTTGTTCGTTGTTGTTCTCGATATTAATGTCATCAGAAAGCAAGTGACTCACATCCATCTTGCCACTTCCATTTACACTCCCACTCCCACTTCCATTCGCACTCCCACTACCTCCAGTTCCTCCAGTCCCTGTTGCCGTTGTCGTTATCGTTGTTGTTGTTGTCGTCGTCGTCTTCGCCTCTGCTGCAGAACCATTACCTACACTTCCACTCATTTCCTTCTCCTCTCCAGCTACTACTGGTTCGGGATTCGGTGCCGTCGCCGCCGTCGGTGGAGTAGTAGGTGATTCTGTTTCTGTCGCCGCTTTCCCAGTAGGAGTTGCTGCGCCAATTTCTGTGCCTGTCGTGTCCATCACATCTGGATCTGGATTGTTGGGCCCTCCTGGATCAGGGTGAGCAGCAGCAGCTGCTGCACCAGAGCCAGAAGCAGCACTGGAACTGGAACTGGAACCAACACCACTGGAACCACTACGATTCCCCAGAGCAGGATGATCCATATCAGCGCGGTTGTTGGTGGCGGCTGCAGAAAAATCTTGCCAATAGTGCTGCTCATCTCGGTCCCAACTTTGGTGGTCTTCCTGGTCCTGGTCCTGATCCTGATCGCGTTCCTCCTCCTCCTCCTCCTCCTCCTCTCCCATAGCCACGTCATTTTCGGCACAAGCCAGGTTTAGGCTTGAACGTACGCCATCCTCCTCCTCGTTCAAACCCATCTCGATATCATTATCATCGCGTTCTGGCGTTGCCATTGCCCCTGGTGGGGATACCGGCGAGGTTGGTTCTTCTCCTCCTGCAGCGTTCACACCTGCGAAAGCGGGCTCTTCATCCTTTGCAGCTCTGACTTGCTCCCGGTGATCATGTTGGTGATGTTCCAGATCCGCAGTCCCATCCAAGCGTGGGTCTAGGCTCGGGTCGGTGGTGTTGTTCCTTGTAGTTGTAGAAGAAGTATTACCTCTAATTGGATTCGTCTTTGCCGTGCTTTCTGTCACCGCCGCCGCCGCCGCCGCTTCTATACCACCATGGCGGTTCCGGTTGTTGCTATTGATGCTTGTGAAATGTGAGCCCGGTGCGGTGTCCATGCCCATGTCCACATCACCTCCACCGCCACCGCGAGCGCTGGCACCCGACTGTTGTTCTCTTCCACTTTCCCAAACTGACGTGAGTCCTCGTGGTGACCTTACTGCAGCGGCCTTCTGGTACTCATCCTGACCTTCGCCCTCCCCATCCTCGCTACTGGTTTCAACCAACATGTCCAAATCCTTATCAGCCATGTCTGCTTGATCATCCGCGTCCACCATTCCCTCTTCGTCCATGCGGGGATCTCTTCTCTCCATCTCCGAGCTCCCTCCATCACCATGCAAGCTTGCCCTCTCACCGCCTTGTCCACTATCGCCACTACCACCGCCTCTTAGCCTCCCCATGGGATCTTCCTTCCCACCATCAGACCTATTCCCAGAATGCTCATGATTTTGATCATACTGCTCAACACGTCCATCATGACCAACACGCCCATGGCGATGATGACGTTGATGATGATGATCCTGCTGCTGCATATGATGAATCCCACCACTACCATCCATGAACCCGCCCCCGCCACTCCCACTCCCCGACGCCAACCCATCACCCATCCCGATACCAACAGCCTCGGTACCCGCCACAGTTAACAAGGCTTGGAACGTATCCGAATCAGTATCGGGTTCGGCAGCAGAAGAGGTGCCTCTGTGCTTGTGGTGCTGCTGCTGCTGCTGCTGGTGGTGGTGGTGATGGGGTTGGTGAGGCTGATGGTGCTGATGCGGCGCGTACTGGTATTGATACTGCTGCTGATGGCGGGCATCGTGCTGCGTAATGTGATTATGGGCGCCTGTGGGAAGAGATCTCGTCGCTTCGGGGGTGTAATGTTGAGCGCCATCGGACGGGTGAGCGTTGTGAGCTGTCGAGGTATGAAGTTGAGATGGTTGGATTTGATGTGGTTGGCTGTATAACGGGGCATGCACCTGTGTAGGCGGATGGAGAGGAGGTCGATGGTGGAATGGGTTTGGATGATGCTGAGGCTGGTGATGCTGGGTATAGTCTCGCTCGTTATGGACTTGCCCATGGTCGCCCAGGGAATGATGATTGGCTGCGGTCATTCGCGTAGAAGATGGTCCTGGTTGGCTTATCATTTGTGGATCGATGATGGGGGGTAAGGAGACGTGTGGATGATGAGGCTGGTGGTGATGAGAGGATGCCACTACAGAGTGATGTTGCGGTTCATGATGCGGGTGGGAAGGATAAGGAGGTGGATAGTGATGGTGGTGATGCGGAGGAGGGGAAGGATGGTGTGGTAGCATTGGGCTCTCATGCGCCTGTGTGTGATGAGTAAAAGGGTTTTGCTGAACGGTGGCGAGGTTTGTTGTATCAGGGGTTACTTGCATAGGAGGACCGGGGGAAGGGGAAGTCAAGATGGAGATTTGGTGACCGCTGGCATCAGTAAAATGCGGATGGCTTTGGTTATAGTGATGCGATGAGGAGGCAGCATAGGGATCTATGTGAGATGGTGGCTCGGGCGGCAAGGCAGGTATGGAGTACGTCCTGGGCTGATCGGCTATGGTAACAGTATTACCCGCTGGAGCAAACCCAGGAGATGGAATAGGTGATGATCGCTTGGAGCTGCTGGCCCCAACGGGCGGGCTAAGATTCGGACGCTTTATGCCGCTGGACGTTGTGGTCATGATGTTAGACAAGGACGGTTGATGCTGGTGCTGCTGAGCTTGGGACGTGGATGACAATGACGACTTTCCCAGTTCTTTGCATTCAGAACAGTTCCTAATTACATCCGAGACCGTCTCCTTGATACGACTCCAGTGGTAGCGCTCGGCAATGGTGGCCGTGGTTCTGTTGATGCCCGCATGTGACTGGTTGTGCACCTCTCTTGCAATGTCGTACTGGCGGCGCGGGTCCGAGATGACCTCTTTGTCCTTTAGCATGAGAATGTCACCGTCGACCAGCTTGTAGTGAGTCGCGGCGCTACGAAGCCTGCTTTTCTCGGCTCGGTCAGCCCCGTTCGGATAGCGGCCGTACTTGAGATAGAACTTGATCTTGTCGAAACGCTCTTCACTCACAAGTTCTTCGTTACCTGCCGCGTCGCCCAAGTCCCGCCCAAAGATGATGGCGTCCACCAGACGGTCTGGGTAACTCTTGAGGTTGCCGGCCCCCTTGACACGGCCGATGCGCTTGAAGCCCAAGCCGTCCCAGATCTTGCACGACGCCACGTTGGTCTCGTACACGAGGTTGAAGACTGAGTACGTATAGCCCAGCTTGGGTGCCCAGTCCAAGTAGGTCTCACCCATGAGACGCCCGACGCCGCGGTTACGGGAGGCATCCGTCACGATGAAGCCAGCATTGCAGATGTGGCTACTGCGGCCAGGGTAGTTGGGCTTGATGTAGAAGGTGCCCAAGCACTCTGTCGACCAGTTCTTGTTGTCGACAATGTCCTCGCCGCGCTCGATCTGGCCGAGGAGCATGACACCAGCGAAGTTTTGGAACCAGTAGTCGGCAAACTTGTCGAAGGGCATGGCGTCCAACATGGGGTACGTATCACCACCCTCGATTTCCTTGTTGAACTGATCATGGAGATAGTGCAGCAGGGAATTGGGCACCTGATGGCGCGAGGCAAAGGGGACGACGGTAGCCACCGTCTGGCGATCCCGCAGAGTCACATGGCGAGGGACAATGGTGGGCGGAAAAGAAGGATGAGCAGGGTCTGGATAGGGAGCCGCTCCAGAGACGCGGTAAATTGTTCCGGCTGAGGGGTCGTCAAGGATGGCTGGCATCTTGTCTTTTTTTCCCAAATCAATTGAGATGAGCGCGCGAATTACTCAAAAGTCCTGCTGTGTCAAAGTATATGCCCTGCCAAAAGGGTCAGCCACTTGATCCAGGTGTAAAAATGCAATCGATTGAGAGAAAGCCGTATAAGGTGATAGCATACGCACGTTAGGAACAAGAGACAACTAATTAAGGCTAGTTGAAGCCAAGGAACAAACTCGTTGTATGAACCCAGAGAGTGAGTGTGCGAGATATATATTAAAGACGAGTGTGTCCAAACCAGGCCACCTAGCATACCGTATATAGATATGTACGCGGCGGGGTAAAGGTGACAACCAAGACACCTGGATTGTTTGATAGTTCGATAACGTCGATATCGTCTCAGAAGAGCGGGACCGTGGCCGTGGCCGAGATCCGGCAGTTGGTGGCCGGGTGTAACGATGCTTTGCCCGAAAACGGAGGCCCGGGGTGACACACCCACTCAGCCCCACCAGCAAGCCCAAGCCTCAGGACGGATTCTCTCTCCCGGTCCGACCCGGGATTTACGGAGGGGGAAAACAACGGTACCAGGGGGTCGCACCGACCGTACCGTACCGTACGGACTGGGTGGACACTCCGGAGTGTGCCGACGACCAGTGTTGGATCACCAATCACCAGCGCTGTCCTGTCTTGTCTTCTTGTCACCTTGCTGTTATGGTCCAGGTGCAACAGGAACCGACAAGCATGTGAGTGTTTGACGTGACTGAATAAACGCGCCGTCGCAGCTCTGAGCACGACCGAAGGGTTCCCGATTCCAGTCCAGCCCCGTGTGCGTAGCTGAGTGGTCGCGGGCGGCGGCGGCGGCGGCGGCGAATCTGAGAAGCGATTGGGTTGAATCCCCGTCGTTCTGAAATATTCGGCGTGATGATAGCTTGTGCTCACTGGGAACCAAAAGAAAGAGGTTTGAGAATGTGGATGGAACTCTTAGTCGGTTCTCGCATTTTGGTTCGTGAAAATGAAGGTGTCCGCTGGCTTAGTCATCATTTGTCTCCTTACTGCCGTATAACACCTTCAAACCTTCTCAAACCTGTCTGCAAGACAACTGGATGCTTGAAAGGTACTTAATTTGCTCAGTTACTACATACATGGCATGTACGACTGGCCGGCAAGATACCGAAACGCACCTCTCTCACCCATCCGCGTCGTTGCAAAGACTAGGTAGGTAGGTATCGGTATATAGTACAATAAAGGCTATTCTACAACCCGCTCGTATGCTTGTTCCACGCCCTCCAATAAAAAGCAGTTCGAAGGGGCCCAGGTCTGGTTTCTCTCTACCATGATAATACAATTCCATTCCTCTTTTTCCACATCTCTTTCTTATACACGAGCATCACCCCCGAACATCGCCTTGAGCGCATCCTCGCTCAGGAACGTGTCCTTCTCCTTCTGCTCCTCCACACTGTTGTCCTGTGCCTGTCTTCTCCGGGCGTCGGCCGCCCGCGCCGAAGCCAGCTCAAAGTACCCTTGCACATCGGCGGGCGTCTTCCATGTGACCACGCCGCGCTGTGCCGCTTCGAGTCTGCGCTTCTGGCCACGCTCACCGGCGCGACCGAGGACACCGCTGATAAGGGCGGTTGCTCGCAAACTGATTTTGATCAAGCATGACATGTCAGCAACTGAACTGTATATAAAGCACCACACCCAGTCACATCTGTAACGCGCATCCAAGAATTGGGGGGAGGGTCCTTACCTGTCGTCGTTGGCCGGGATCTGGTACGTAACCCACGACGGGTTCGTGTTGGTATCAATAATACCAATGGTCGGGATCTTGGCCAAACTGCACTCGTACAACAGCGTCATGTTTTCCTTGGGGTTCAAGCACACGACCAGATCGGGCGCCAGGGGTCTGCGGTCATGCAGATGGTCCTCGAACCCAGAGAGCGGGCGATCAAGCTCGTCCACCACGGTCAGCGGGACGCCTCCCAGCAGCTGCTCGCGGTTGGTGATCGTTCCGGGCCTCCACTTGGTAAAGAGGTGGCAGGCCTTGGCCAGCTCGGCGGCGCGCACAACAATGGGCCGCTGACCCGGGCGAGTGCCGACAAACAGAATCAGGCCGCCGCGGTAGGCAACCTCCTCGACAACGCGGGCGGCGCGGCGCAGATGCGTGGCCGTTGTCTCGAGGCTGATGATGTGGATACCCTGGCGCACACCATAGATGTAGCGCGCGTTGGCAGGGTTCCAAAGGGAAGTGTTGTGGCCCATGTGAGCCTGGGCGGCCATGAGGTCCTCGAGCGATGCGTCCGAGGGGGGGTTGCGGAGGTACTGCTCGGGGATGTAGCGGACCTCGACGCCCGCGCCGAGCTTCTGGGTTTGCGCCTTGGTTTGCTTGAAGAGCTTGAAGTTGCCGGGAATAGCCTCGATCTGCTGCTTGAGCTTAAGCGCCTCCTCGTCGACGAGGCTTGGGTCCCATGTCGTGACGGTCTCGGTAGCAGTAGCGGAGGGTGCGGACCAGGCCTCGGCGGCCGGGGAAGCGGCGAACTCGGGAGTGGGCTTCTCGATACTCTCGGCGTAAAACTCGGCCTGCTCCTCGAGAGTGGGCTCAGCAAAGGCTGTTTTGGCAGCCTGCTTCTTGGTGTTCGTCGGCGGCGGCGGCGCAGTGAAGTTGTCCTGGGAGAGGAATCGCGACTGGGCCTGGAAAGAGGCCCGCGAAAGAGGAGTGGCCAGGGCCCGTCGGCCTGCAGCGAGAACGTCAGCTTGCAATCATTTGGCTTGTAGCAAGGGGAGAACGGAGCACTCACCTAACCGCGCGCCGATATTCCGAACAATCATGGTGGAAATGCTGGGGTCGGACACATCGTCGTCGGGAAGACGTTGTGAATCGGCCGCTCAACTTTTCTGGACGGTACACGGCCGACGGTGGCCCGTGCGCCGATTCACTTTCGGCATCACACCCGCCAGGCGTGGATCACTGCACCAATGCGGGCGGGCACTGGAGGTGTAGCGCAGCGCGGCCTCGGGCCTTCAGGCACTGGAACGGCCCCACCACGGGAATTCTGGGGTCAGGAAATGGCCGAGCGGGTCTGCGGCATCATCACGGAAGAGAGAAGGGGAATTAAACAAAAGAAATACCTATCTAACAAAAACGCCATACTACCGCTGGCCGAAATCTTGATCTCAATGTTCTCAATGTCAACGTGTAGTCTGTAGTGGGTAATAATGTAGCTCGTAATCAGAGGCTTTGCGTACATGAGTTTCCTTCCTCAGTAACTAAGTAACCTATACCAATCCGGCCAAATCCCCCTCTCTCAGGGTCCCGTTCCCGACACTCCCCTCCTGCATTCCGTCATGCAACTACCTTTAAATCAGGCGAATGAGAAGATATAATTGCTGGATTGGGCAATCCATTATCAACAATTTCTCGAGCCCAACAACAGCAACAACAACTATCAACACACTGCATCGATCATCATCAAAACCATGAGACTCCCTGCTTCATCTTCATCTCCTCTAAACTACCTTCTCGACCAAGAATTCGAAGAAAATGTAAAAAAAAATAAAAAGGTGTAAATTCTTATGCTTAACGGCTGCTGGTCAATCTCGAAACGGTAAACACACTAACAATCACCACGGCCAGGGTGACAATAGCACCCGGAAGCAGCAGCTCGTTGGGGACACCAGCAATGACCCGGGGCTGCTCTTGTGGCTGAGACATTGTGCGCGTGCGCGTAGGGCGGCGATGGACGGGCTCCTCCTCCTCACTAACCTCCTCGGATTCCTCCTCGACCTTCTTTCTCCGCTCACGAACCACCGACGAAGCAGGAGGGGTGGCAGGGATCGTCTCAATCACCGGTGCAGGCGTAGGAGCGTGCGAAATAGCAGGCTCTGAGGGGTCGTGCACGAACAGGTCGACCTTCTCACGGAGGCCGTGACGCGCAAGCAGGATGGCTTCGAGCAGATCCTGATCCGTGGTGATGGAAACCGAGTCGCCTTCGTCGTCAAGATAGCTGAGCGCAAATCCGCCGGAAAGTCGGCCGTTCTCGACCTCAGGGGTACCGCCAATAGCGTCCACCTCAGCTCCAAGCTTGGCAGCGACAGCAGCGACAAATTCGGCCATGCCGTGGGAGGCTGTCACCTGCAGACGGTGGACACGGCCGCTGGGAGCCTTGAACTTGAAGGGGAAGGGGATATCGGCCGGGTTGACCTCCTGAATGCCACCGAGCTGGCTGTGGGAAGGCGACTCGACGCCCGCATGGCTCGCAGAATCACCAGGCGCCACGCTGTCGACGATGCGCTCGCTGCGAGCGATGTCGGGCGACATGAGCGATCTAGGCCCATGGTGGGTGTGGTGGAGCGAGCCATCGCCCGATACCATTGACTCGGTTTCGTGGTCCAGAGAAAGCCAGAACTTGTTCCAGGCGGGTCCCTCGTTGTCGGTACCGCTGCCCATCGTGTTAATCTGTTCGAGGGTGGCGTAAGTGAGCTTGAGGACATCGACCATGCCGACAATCTCGCCAGCATCGTTCATCACCGGCAGGTTGAGGTAGTGGCCATCGTGCATCTTCCTCAGCGCAGCCTGGATGGTCATGTCCATGGGCGCAAAGTCGGGATGGGGGGTCATGACGCGGACCACGCTGCAGGTGGCAGGGTCAAGACCGGGGGCAATCACACGAAGGACGACGTCCTTGCTGGTGAAGATACCCGTAATTGCTCCCTGATCCTGGACCAAGACCGCCGTGGTGTGGTTCTCCTTCATCAGCTGGGCCGCCTCCTTGACCGAGGTCCGGACGCTGACCGTGGTTGGGGGAATGCCGTTCAAGACAGACTCCAGGGTCGGGCCCGACATCTTGGATCGCAGGGCCTCAACGTATTGGATGATCTGCTGGGGCTGACTGGTACCAAGCTCTGACTGAACACCCTCGAGCGCATCATACAACCGCCTGGACGAGGCATAGGCGCGCTCCAGCTTTTCCATCGCGTCGTAGAAGCACTTTGTGATATCGAGAATGCCCGATATGTCCTGGTTCTCGTCCATGACGGGCAAATGGCGGAAGCCCTTGCGCACCATGAGATCAAGGGCGTCGGTGGCGCTGGTGTCGGTCCTAGCGCACAGCGGGTTCTTGGTCATGATCTCAGCAATGGTGACCGTGTTGGCCTTGAGTCCGCCGCCGACGACGCGGAAGGCCAAGTCCTTGGCTGTAAAGATACCGGCAATCCTTTCATCGTCGTCGGTGACAAGAACACAGTCCTCGCGCTTGGCGGCCATCAACTGAGCGGCTTCGGAAACGGTGGTCGCGGCCTTGATCTGGAGGGCGGGGCTCGGCTTGAGGGCGAGGACGGTTCCGGGAGGGGCTTTGCGGGTATGACGGGCTCGGCTGGTAAGATGCTTCTTCTTGGAGAGATCGCTCTCCATCTTGCGGCGGATGGCCTGGCAACGGCGGTGTTAGAGACGGCATCTTCAACCTCATCAGGGCATGGTAGAGAAGGGGGGGTCAAGCGGCGGCAAGCGGCGGTGACAAGTAAGTTGGGATCACGCACCTCATCTCTCTTGGACTGCTTTTGCCTGCTCACGCTGACAGAGGCAGAGCCGACCTCACTCCCGGTGGCGGCATGGTTGGTTTCGAGGACGGGGCGGGGGATGGCCGAGCCGGCGTGGTTCTGGCCGTAGGGCGTCGCGCTGCGATTCTGTGGCTGGGCGATGCTGCCACCAGCACGGCTGGGGCCGCGTGCGGTGGAACCTGGGTGTGTCGACATGATAAGGGATGCTCGACGGCCAAGGAAGCGAATGCGGGTGCGATACTGTTTCTATTGTCTTTTTTTCCCCTACGCACAAGTGGACAAGCGGCGGAAATTGGTCGTCGGTGTTGGTGCGGTGCTCGACTTTGCGCGAGTGAGAGTGACGATTTTTCGTGGTCCCTGAACCCGAACCGATTTGCGACGACCAGAAAAGGCCGAGCTAGGCGTCAACCAATAAGGTGATCAGATGACTTGGAAGCGGAATTGCACCTTGTCAGTCGCCAGTCGCAAAAGTCAAAGCCCGAGTCTGGGGGAGTCGTTTCAAATGATGGGTCACCTCACGACGAACGACGACGGGAATTGCAGTACAATGTAGTAGTGTAAGTAGGTGGTGTACTGACGAGGGAAACACGGGTCGAATGAAATGCGCGCAACAATGTCAGTTGATTTCCTCTTTCACATATTTTGTACGTCTCCCGTCGTTACCGCCCGCGCGCGCGGCATCGCATGGCACCGCACCGCACCGCACCGACCGCAATGATTTTCCCCTTGTTTGTTAGTGGTCGCACTAGGCACCGCAGCGCACCGCAATATAGAAAGCACGGACCATCCAATGTCACCCACAGTTTCCTTGGAGGATGGAACCGCCCGGGCTGGAAGTGTTTGGATTTTGAGCGTGTGATTACCCCACCATGCCGGTTTTCCTCGGCGATGGCGGGGCCTGTTTTTTTTTTTTTGCCTGTCTGCACTTGAACAGCAGCTGTCAAATATCTCTCTCGTCTCTCCTGTTTATACGAGATGGTCATGTTACTGGCAAATTGACGATATTTCCCCTGCAGTGAGCACATGCCTATTGACCAGCCAATGGCGAAAGAGTTGTTGCAAGTTGGGTGCTGCGAGTTGTGAGCATTTCCGGGAGCTCTCTGTAACCGTGACGGTGAATGAATGCATGGCAGGTCTTTCTCATCTTTAATGTTGGCGTGATGCTCGACTTCAACTTGGTTAAAACCTTCGCAAAGCAACTGAACGGACAACTTTTTGCAAGGGAAAGAAAGGGGCCGCTCGCTCATTGATAAGACAATAATCTGACATGGGCAATTGCGGATACCGAAGAACGGTGAGCTGCTATTTATATCTCGTCAAAGACATGCTAATCTGCGATCAACCCCCCAGCCTCCTAGCAGTTCACATGTGGAAGTGCCGGCCATACCGTAGGTGAAGAAGTGAGGAGATTCGTTCCGTCCGTCGAGTTCAGACAGCCATTTCACTACAATCATGAGAGCGGGGGGTTGAGCTCACCTCTGATCATGACTGAAGGTAAGCATATAGTGTAGTGATGAAATCAATGACTTGGTATCATCATGATCGACCAGAAGAATAGTCTACTGGTCATTATTGAGGTTTTGGATTATTTGGTCCCGATTACCCGGGCAATGGCCACCCCACACTTCCCTTGGTGTTGAGGAATCTTCCACGGTGCCACGACAATGACCATCTGATTGATATTCACATGCCGCCAATACGAGAGAACAGCATCGAAACATGACATGATCTCTTTTGAATCTCCAGTCCTCACACCGTTTACCCTACCCATTCCTTCTTGATGCCACCTCAGCCCTGTAGCTATCTAGTCCGCGTCCCGTTGTCGGCTCTGAACCAGGCGACGGCGGTACTGCAAAGAATCCCGTCTACCTACACCACGCCTTTGACTCCTCACAGCGGACGGTCTGCGCGTAATATACCTTGCGTTGGACTGACATGCCCGCACTTTGGGTGCGCGCAGACAACTCCGCAACATGCAGCAGCAAGGCAATGTATGTAATACATCAAACCAACCGTCGCAACAGGACAGGTGCGGTGATCCTCGATCCTCGATCCTCTTCGATCCCCGATCCTCGATGCTCATCATCGTGGTGATATTCTTAACTGCGTTGCCATTTATCGTGGTGATGTTTTTTTTTTTTGTCAGACCGTCGTTTGCAATCGCATAGCTGGCCCAAACATCCCTGACTCGCGCGTGATGGACGATTCGAAGAAGACGGGAAAGCCACTGGAAGGTAGAAGCTACCTGTACACTACACTAGGACTGCGGACTGCGATGCTACCTAGTTCTAGACGTTGAGGCTAAAAACGCCCAGACGGGGCACCTGGAAATACCTGCCAAGTGTCTAAAGTCCTCAAGAGCTTTTTCAATGCTTGGAGGTGACCAACCGCAACAAATCGTGCGTCTGGCAATGACGTCGATCAACCCAGTTGGGACCAGCAGCCGCTAATCCCGCGCAAGAGACAGGCGACCCCATAGCAGACGACAAGGAAGCGATAAGCCGCCAGCGATAAGTGCTTAAGGTTGTTTTCGGGAACTGTGAATTTTTTCGGTCCTATTACGGGTTCAGCTTCTAGGGGCGACTTCATTCGCTACACTCTAGGTAATCAGTGAATTATTGATAATGAAATGTTACATGGCAGAACATATACACAGTACATAGGGTGCTTGGCTCTCCTCAGCCAAGCATGCCCTGCGTGCAAGTCCGTTCGGAGAAACAGTGGTTCAGATTGGATCATGGTATTCTCCTCAAGTCAAGGGGTCCCGAGTTTTTCATGGTTCGGGGGTCCTCGGATTGAAACAACCTGCGCCGGATATGGGGGTTTGAAGTCACACGGCAGGGTGCGTCTGAGAGTGTACACTAGGTAACATGCTATGCTGCGGCGTTTAAGCAAGCCCGGGGATTCTTGAAAGAGTGTGCTGCTGTGCAACGCGGGAGTTGAGATTGGTGTTGAGGAATGTGTAGGCAAAAGGACGGTAACCGTTGAGAACTCGAGATAAGTGTGGCAGCACAGAGCAAGCCGCAAAGACCTTTATGAAGCACACCCCTGATATCTGCCCCTTGTGTAGTGTACCCAGGGTAGGTAGAGGTAGGTATGTACAAGTTTTGTCTCTGCTTTCCATTCTCCTTCTTATCACTGCACAGCTACTGTACCTTCGTTGTTGTTGCCTTGTGCCCGAGCGTGGGCATGGGCATGGAGGTGCTGAGGCCAGGAACAGACAGCCGGAAACTGCCAAGAGACAGACGCTTGTTTTGCCAATCACGTCTTGTCTGCGTGTTGGCGATCATCCCCTTCCTTATCCCCTCCAATGAAGGGGGGTGATGCACACACGGCAGTAGCCAAACAACGACACGACGGCACTCGCAAGACGAAACACCGTGACAACCGAACTAAAGCACCGTCCCGTCGCAACCACCTCCACGCTGGACGGCCCACGGCACTGGACTGGAGCTGTGCGTGCTGGATGGAGCATCTTCATTCTTTTGATGACCTGACTGGAGCCGGGCAGTCAAACAAGCATTTAAAAAAACAGGGGCCACGCTGGAGAAAGCCCAGAACTGCCATTTTGCAACACGGGGGGCCAAGGAGGAACAGCCCGGCTCGAGCCCGGGTCGGCGCTGCGTAACGTCATCCACTTTTCCATTTCTTGGCTCTTTGGCGATTCCAGGTTTCCTTTCTTTTCCTTTTCCAGTTTCTTCACGTTTCTCCGTGATCAACATAGGTAGCTACAGACCCAATACTGCAACGTATCGATTCCCCCCTTATCTTTAATGCTGGGTCCATGATTGCTTTTGCATTTTCCTCTTCTTCCTCCCGTCATTTCTCCCGCCAGTCTCTCCCGCTCCATTTCCACTCGCTGCGGCTTTCCACCTTTTCTGCATCATCCTACCGCCTACCCTGGGGCGGCCTTGTGGAAGGAATTGAAAGAGAGGAACCGAAATTCCACTTCCAGGGAGTAGTACGCCGGATACAGCGGACGCAACCCACTAAATTCGCTATCGTAACTTTTTACATATACCTACTACACGGGTACTGACAACTGCCCGCCGAACGACCAACCAGCCAGTGTCCAGCCATTGACTGCTGCAGTGCTCAGCCAGCCAGTGAAACTTGCCGCTCGGCGCTTTTCCCGGCATTGAATCTTACGAGGAGCACCACATCCCGTCGGCACCACATCAATCGTGAAACGGTGGGATTGAGAGAGAGAGAAGTGAAGGGAGGGAAAACCACCAAGACAAGTGCCATCAGGCCACGGGGCCTGGCCAATTCCTTTTCTTTCTTTCTGGACAACATTCCCTTCCACCACTCTATCGTTTGATATCGACACTTCAGCAAATTAAAATCAACTGTTGGCGAGAGCGCCAAGCGAATCACTACAGGGGATCACCGCTTCTCGCAACTCTTCTCCTCCACCACAGCCCTAGAGTTGGTAATCATCCATTCGCTTTCTAGGTACCTACTCTACGCATCGGCGATCGAGTTCGTTGCTGTGCAATTGCACGTTGCCCCCCTCCACCCCCAAAAAGGAATCCAAACCCAGAAAAGCAATCGGCAATCTAGTCTCGTCGCGGAGAACACATATTGTTGGAAACGTCGGAAAAATACAATAAGAGAAGCGAGCACCAACTTGGGGCTGCGTATCGAGGTTCGACCACTTTCACAAGTCGCCCACCACAACCGATACGGGCCGCCATGTCGCGACGACCAGATTCCTTTCGCATGTCGAGTCGGTCTTCATTCTCATCATCAGCGTCGTCATCATCATTATCATCGCCGTCGTCGTCGCAGTCTGCGACGGCCTTCAAGCGTGCCGCTTTCGACGCTATCCACCATATCCGGGCGTCATTTGCATCTGCGACACAAAAGCGCAGTATTGATCCCAATTGTTCGCCACAGCCGGGCGTGAACCTGTGCGAGAAGCCAGCAGAGGCAACCTCAGATGTTACCTGGGCGATTATTGGCAGTGTGCTGTGAGTGTTTGAAGTTTTCTCGTATTCTTTCTTCAGCCTAAAATCGTCGCATCCCCCGGTCCATGTCCTGCGAAGGAGCCGCCACCACCCTTGAAAATTGCCCAAAATGGAAACACCAAAAACAAACACTAGTTTGGAACGACATGCTACTCGCCAGACATTGGTTACTAACAATGCCTTGTAGCGCTTTCGTTGCGGCAACTACCATTATAGTAGCATATCTTCTTCACCTTCGCCGGAAAAAGGTCCACAAGAAAGAAGATCAAAATGACCCGTTCCAGATGGACGACTATGGTTTCGACGAAGCCGCTGCCGCAGAAGCAGCCAAGTCAAAGGCGAATTTATTCCGACGATCCCATCAATCCTCTACCACTTCGGTTTCCACGCCATCGCCATCAAAACCCATGGAACGCAGGCTGTCCTTTGACGAATCGCCCTACGCTGTTGGCGCCGCTGCCGGGATCCGATCCTCTACAGCCATTGGGGGAGATGTTATCTACAGCGAAGTCAGCACTCCACCGGGCGCGGCACTGCCGCCTGGCGTCGGCTTGAGAGAAAGTCAATTCCTCGGGGTTCCAGGAATTGAGGGGATGGACTTGGGTGGTTTCCCGATGGATCGGGAACGTGAAAGGGAGCGGTCGAGATCGAGGGCCCGGTCGACTTATTCCCACTCTCCTCACAATGGATCCCGTAGACAGATGCAGCGCCGATCCCGACCCTCCAGTGTGCAGAGCGCTCCATTTACGCCCGGAAGCCTGACACCAACGCGAGGACCTAGACCGGCTGCGGGAGGCGACGGGGCCAGTGCCGCCAGTAGCAGCGGCCTTCGCTCTCCCCTTTCCGACGATGCTTCCTCTGCTTCTGTCAGGTCTTCCGAGATGTTGCGTCCGCCCGTCGATGGTGATATTGACACTCTTGCTGGCGCCGATATGCTCGGCCCGGTATCATGGGAGAAGGATCAACAGCAAGGAAAAATGGTGGTGGTGAGGGAGACGACAGTGGAGAAGAAGGGAAGCAGCGAAACAATTGCAGAGGAAGACGAAAAGGCCGATAAGCCTAAGAGCAGTCATGGGATCCGCGTGGTAGCCCCGGAAACAGAACGGGTCGCTGAGGAGGAGGGGGAAAAACCTATAACCGCTGAACTGGAGACAGTAGAGGTCGGGATGGAGGGAAAAAAGATCGAGCAAGCGCCAAGGATATGACCTGACCGCGAATTAATGACGCGTACGCGCGCGCGGGGAGGAGCATTTTGGATGCGTATGGTGTAATGAATCATTTGCTGCTTACAGGGAAGGATAAAATGGGTGCAATACCGAAGGGTTAAAGATATGTCTTGATTTTTCTATTCTTCTTCCGTCATGGGCATCATCTATCTATCTCTCGGATTCCGCCACGAGATAATTCATCAGCATGATGAAAGCGCTGCGTAGCGTTATGCATTGTTATAACTTACTTTCGTCATAATGCTTCTTACAATGTGTTCACTTCGTCAATAAATGCATGGGAAGATGGACGTGGAACATGCGTGCAGGGGGGGGGGGAGAGAGAGGGGTTGAAACATCCGACGGGTGAATCTTACTATTAGATTTCTGTGCGATGGGAGCTTTTCTCTTTGCAGTCATAGGATCTTCATTGATTCTTCCTGAAAGGCCGAAGAGAAAAGGATTCATTTGCGAGTGTATGTCTGGTCGCTATGGACATCCTACCTATCCACGAGCAAAATGCCTGTGATACAACGATATAGTTGGAAAGTACCGCTACATAAATGATATTGAGTCGTCTAAGCCTCTCCATCCTCCCAGTGCCTTCATCGTCCGACACTCTCATTCATATACATAACAGAAAAGGTTATCGCTGACAGTATCCATCAACTTCTTTATTTGCACATCAGGCATTGTTGGACCGATGGCAATGGTCTCATTCGTCGTAACGTTCGCGCTAGGGGGTTGGTTCAGGAGTGTATGCGTTCCCCAGAGGCCCTGTATTGCAATCGCATCAAACATGAAGTGAGCACGACGAACTGAA